AGCCACGACATGCCACAACACACCACAACATGCCACAACACGCCATGACATGCCACAGCACACCATGCTGCGGCACAACACGCCATGACACACCACAGCACGCCGCCGCATGCCGCAACGTGCCGCAGCGTTCCACAATGCGCCACAAGGCTCCGCGGCGCACTGAAACACGCCACAGCACGCCACGACACTCCACGACACGCCACGACACGCCACAGCATGCCACAGCACGCCACGACATGCCACAGCACGCCGCCGCATGGAACAACACGCCGCAGCATTCCACAACGCGACTCAAGGCTCCACGGTGCACTGAAACACGTCACAGCACGCCACGACATGCCACGACACACTATGACACGCCACAGCATGCCACAACACACCACGACACGCCACAGCACGCCACCGCATGCCGCAACACGCCGCAGCGTTCCACAACGTGCCGCAAGGCTCTGCGGCACACTGAAAGACCCCACAGCACGCCACGACACTCCACGACACGCCACGACATGCCACAACACACCACAACATGCCACAACACGCCATGACATGCCACAGCACACCATGCTGCGGCACAACACGCCATGACACACCACAGCACGCCGCCGCATGCCGCAACGTGCCGCAGCGTTCCACAACGTGCCGCAAGGCTCTGCGGCGCACTGAAACACGCCACAGCACGCCACGACACTCCACGACACGCCACGACACGCCATGACACGCCACAGCACACCACACTGTGGCACAACACGCCACGACATGCCACAGCACGCTGCCTCATGCCACAACACACCGCAGCATTCCACAACGCGCCACAAGGCTCCACGGCGCACTGAAACACGCCACGACCCTCCATGACACGCCACGACATGCCACAACACACCACGACACACCAAAACACGCCATGACACGCCACAGCACGCCATGCCGCGGCACAACACGCCATGACACGCTACAGCACGCCGCCGCATGCCGCAACGTGCCGCAGCGTTCCACAATGCGCCACAAGGCTCCGCGGCGCACTGAAACACGCCACAGGATGCCACGACACGCCACGACACGCCATGACACACCACGACACGCCATGACATGCCACAACACCCCACGACGTGCTGCAACACACCACAACTCTCCACGACATGCCATGACATGTCACAACACACTACAACACACCACAACACTCCACGACATGCCATGACATGCCACAACACGCTACAACACACCACGACATGCTGCAAGACTCCACAACTCTCCACAACATGTCACAACACACTGCAACACACCATAACATGTCACAACATACTACAACACACCACAGCACTCCACAATAGGCTACAACACCCCACAACACACCACAACACTCCGTGACACACCACAACACACTACAACACACCACAACACGCTACAACACTCACACCACAACATGTCACAACACACAACACACCACAACATGCCACAACATGCTACAACACACCACAACACGCTACAACACGCACACCACAACATGTCACAACACCCCACAACATGCCACAACATACTACAACACCCCACAGCACTCCTTGACACACCACAACACGCCACAACATGCTACAACCCCCCCACGACACGCCACAACACGCCACGACACCCCACGACACCCCAGGAGACGCCACAACCCCCCACAACACGCTACAACGCGCCACAACACCCCACAACACGCTACAACGCGCCACAACACCCCACAACACGCCGCAACGCAGCGCCACACGCTACAACACGCCCCAACACGCCACCACACGCGTGTGGCAACCACAGGGGCTTCTCCGAGGCCATTTTGGGGGCCAAACCAGCTCCGGTTGTGCTTTTTTTTCCCTAATGAGGCTGATTTCAGCCCAAATTTGTGCCCGCGGGGGAGGTGCCGGGGGGTGGGGGTGCCCTTTTTTGGGGTACTTTTGCCCTTTTTGGGGGTACTTTTGCCCTTTCGGGGGTGGTTTTGCGCTTTTTGGGGGCGCTTTTGTCCTTTTTGGGGGGTACTTTTGTCCTTTTGGGGCATTTTTGCCCCTTTTTGGGGTGGTTTTGCCTTTTTTGGGGGGTGTTTTTGCCCTTTTTGGGGTCCTTTTGCCTTTTTGGGGTACTTTTGCCAATTTTGGGCGGGTTTGCCCTTTTCTGGGGTGCTTTTGCTCTTTTTTGTGAGTGCTTTTGCCTTTTTTTGGGGTGGTTTTGCCATTTTTGGGGTGCTTTTGTCCTTTTTGGGGGGTACTTTTGCTCATTTTGGGTGTTTTTATCCGGTTTTGTGTGTGCTTTTGCCTTTTTTGGGGTGCTTTTGCCCTTTTCTGGGGTGGTTTTGCCCCTTTTTGTGAGTGTTTTTACCCTTTTTTTGGGACGGTTTTTCCTTTTTTGGGGTGCTTTTGCTCTTTTTTGTGTGTGCTTTTGCCGTTTTTGGGGTGCTTTTGCCCTTTTCTGGGGTGGTTTCGCCCTTTTTTGTGAGTGCTTTTGCCCTTTGGGGGCATTTTTGCCCTTTTCTGGGGTGCTTTTGCCTTTTTTCGGGGTGCTTTTGCCCTTTCTGGGGGTGTTTTTGGCCTTTAGGGGGGTGGTTTTGCCCTTTTTTGGGGTACTTTTGTCCTTTTTGGGGGGTACTTTTGTCCTTTTGGGCCATTTTCGCCCCTTTTTGGAGTGATTTTGGCTTTTGGGGGGATTTTTGCCAATTTGGGGCGGTTTTGCCCTTTTCTGGGGTGCTTTTGCCTTTTTTCGGGGTGCTTTTGCCCTTTTTTGGGGTGTTTTTGGCCTTTAGGGGGGTGGTTTTGCCCTTTTTTGGGGTACTTTTGTCCTTTTTTTGGGGTACTTTTGCCCTTTTGGGCCATTTTCGCCCCTTTTTGGAGTGATTTTGGCTTTTGGGGGGATTTTTGCCAATTTGGGGCGGTTTTGCCCTTTTCTGGGGTGCTTTTGCTCTTTTTTGTGAGTGCTTTTGCCCTTTTTTGGGGTGGTTTTGCCATTTTTGGGGTGTTTTTGTCCTTTTTGGGAGGTACTTTTGCTCGTTTTGGGTGTTTTTATCTGGTTTTGTGTGTGCTTTTAACTTTTTTGGGGTGCTTTTGCCCTTTTCTGGGGTGGTTTTGCCCCTTTTTGTGAGTGTTTTTGCCCTTTTTTGGGACGGTTTTTCCTTTTTTGGGGTGCTTTTGCTCTTTTTTGTGTGTGCTTTTGCCGTTTTTGGGGTGCTTTTGCCCTTTTCTGGGGTGCTTTTGCCCTTTTCTGGGGTGGTTTCGCCCTTTTTTGTGAGTGCTTTTGCCCTTTTGGGGCATTTTGGCCCCTTTCTGGGGTGGTTTTGCCTTTTTCTCGGGGTGCTTTTGCCCTTTCTGGGGGTGATTTTGCCCTTTTTGGGGGCGGTTTTGCCGTTTCTGGGGTGTTTTCACCCCGTTTTGGGTGCTTTCACCCTATTTTGGGCCCTTCCCTTCTGTTTTTGGTGCTTTCACCCTTTCCCTGTGTGCTTGCGCCCTCTTCTGGTGCTTCCACCCTGTTTTGGGGTGATTTCACCCAGTTTTAGGATATTAACCCCGCTATTTTGGGTCCTTTCACCCTGTTTTGGGGTCCTTTCATGCAGTTTTAGGTGCTATCCCCCCTGTTTTGGGTGCTTTCACCCTATTTTGGGTCCTTCCCCTCTATTTTGGGGTGCTTTCACCCTTTCCCTGGGTGCTTGCGCCCTCCTCTGGCTGCTTTCCCCCCTCTTTTGGGTGCTTTCCCCTTGTTTTGGGTGCTTTCACCCACTTTTAGGTGCTATCCCCCTCTGTTTTGGGTGCTTTCACCTTCTTTTGGGTCCTTTCACCCAGTTTTAGCAGCTTTCCCCCCTGTTTTAGGTGCTTTCCCCCTGTTTTGGGTCCTTTCATCCTGTTTTAGGTGCTTTCCCCCTGTTTTGGGTGCTTTCACCCCGTTTTGGGTGCTTTCACCCAGTTTTAGGAGCTTTCCTTCCTGTTTTGGGTGCTTTCACCCTGTTTTGGGTGCTATCCCCCCCCTGTTTGGGGTCCTTTCATCCTGTTTAAGGTGCTTTCCCCTTGTTTTGGGTGCTTTCACCCAGTTTTGGGAGCTTTCCTTCCTGTTTTGGGTGCTTTCACCCTATTTTGGGTCCTTCCCCTCTATTTTGGGGTGCTTTCACCCTTTCCCTGGGTGCTTGCGCCCTCCTCTGGCTGCTTTCCCCCCTCTTTTGGGTGCTTTCCCCTTGTTTTGGCTGCTTTCACCCACTTTTAGGTGCTATCCCCCTCTGTTTTGGGTGCTTTCACCTTCTTTTGGGTCCTTTCACCCAGTTTTAGCAGCTTTCCCCCCTGTTTTAGGTGCTTTCCCCCTGTTTTGGGTCCTTTCATCCTGTTTTAGGTGCTTTCCCCCTGTTTTGGGTGCTTTCACCCCGTTTTGGGTGCTTTCACCCAGTTTTAGGAGCTTTCCTTCCTGTTTTGGGTGCTTTCACCCTGTTTTGGGTGCTATCCCCCCCCTGTTTGGGGTCCTTTCATCCTGTTTAAGGTGCTTTCCCCTTGTTTTGGGTGCTTTCACCCAGTTTTGGGAGCTTTCCTTCCTGTTTTGGGTGCTTTCACCCTATTTTGGGTCCTTCCCCTCTATTTTGGGGTGCTTTCACCCTTTCCCTGGGTGCTTGCTCCCTCCTCTGGCTGCTTTCCCCCCTCTTTTGGGTGCTTTCCCCTTGTTTTGGCTGCTTTCACCCAGTTTTGGGTGCTATCCCCCCCTGTTTTGGGTGCTATCCCCCCTGTTTTGGGTGCTTTCACCCTATTTTGGGTCCTTCCCTTCTGTTTTTGGTGCTTTCACCCTTTCCCTGTGTGCTTGCGCCCTCTTCTGGTGCTTCCACCCTGTTTTGGGGTGATTTCACCCAGTTTTAGGATATTAACCCCGCTATTTTGGGTCCTTTCACCCTGTTTTGGGGTCCTTTCATGCAGTTTTAGGTGCTATCCCCCCTGTTTTGGGTGCTTTCACCCTATTTTGGGTGCTTGCACCTTGGTTTGTGTGCTTTCACCCAGTTTTAGGAGCTTTCCTTCCTGTTTTGGGTGCTTTCACCCTATTTTGGCTCCTTCCCCGCTGTTTTGGGGTGCTTTCACCCTTTCCCTGGGTGCTTGCGCCCTCCTCTGGCTGCTTTCCCCCCTCTTTTGGGTGCTTTCCCCTTGTTTTGGGTGCTTTCACCCACTTTTAGGTGCTATCCCCCTCTGTTTTGGGTGCTTTCACCTTCTTTTGGGTCCTTTCACCCAGTTTTAGCAGCTTTCCCCCCTGTTTTAGGTGCTTTCCCCCTGTTTTGGGTCCTTTCATCCTGTTTTAGGTGCTTTCCCCCTGTTTTGGGTGCTTTCACCCCGTTTTGGGTGCTTTCACCCAGTTTTAGGAGCTTTCCTTCCTGTTTTGGGTGCTTTCACCCT